TATCATCATCATTGCTTGGTCACTAGATCAAGGAAGTACTTCCAACTTGTGCTTTCTGGCCAATAAAGGCATTCCAGCCTTGGGGAAGGGTTTTTGTGTGCATTTCCTACCACTGCATTCCCAGGCTGCCAACCTTGCCTCATCATGCTTACATAGGAGCAGTGACATCTGTCACACTCGTGTCTCTCAGGCTATAGCCACACATCGCAGCAGCATCTCCCAGGGAAGGCTCAAGCTGCTGGGTTTTCCGTCTGGAACAGTTGACAGACTGTGTCATTTGTTATGAAAATTCTGTATCTGAATATTTTGGAAGTGATGCTCTCAGTCCTGGATCAGCCCTTTGTGAGTTGCTGACCTGTGGCTGTAAGATTCTGAGTGGCTGCTGTGAGAGACTGTAGGATCTGAATATGACTCACAAGGCCAGAAAAGGTTGTGATAGTGCCACAATGAATCTCGTACCTGGAAGAGGAGCAGAGTTGGATCCTGGCTTCCCATTCACACCAGAATGGAAGCCAAAGAGATCCAGGGAACTTGTTCCCAGAACATTCTATGATCTAGAATGACACATATCCTAAAATCTGTCACTTGATTAGGGAAAAGAAAAGAAAAGACTTAGCCCTTGGGGGAACTGAGATGTTTCATGCAGTCACCTACTGGGGAAGGAGTATTTCAGTGCCAGTGGTATCCTCCAGTGTGCAATGCTATGCTCTATTTTTCTGAAGACCTCAAATGTTCTTTGTTGCACCTGTATGGAACCTCCACACCAACCTTGGGGTATTCTTGAGCATCCAGTCTCTTGTGTTTCCCTGTCTGTTATTTTCTAGCTCAAAAGGCATTTTTTTCTCCTGATTTTTGCTTCTATCAACGGCTTTTTCTGAAGAATTTTTTTTTTTCCTAGCTTAGCCCCATCAATGTGTTAAGGGTAATACATTGTACACATCAATCCTTTTCTAATCCCTTATTAAAACCTGCCAGGAAACAGCCAACTGAAATAGATTTGAACAGTGGGAGAGAGAGGAGTCATGAGAAGCTATTCTAGACTGAGGTTTTTAGGAAAGAAAATTCAAACACTCTAGGAACTGATCGCCAGAACCTCACTTCATGTATTAAGAGTCCCACTTACTGAGTAATGTAAAAATCTACCCATCTGTCACTTTTCTTACCAATTGAATTATGTAGCATTGTTGAGGATAAAGAGAAACTCTACATAGCTGATGCCATAGCAAAAAGAAAGATGTTGTGGCCCCAGTTAATACTCAGGGATGTGTCAAGACAGAAGAGAAATGAGTTTCCATTTCATCAGTACAAGGAGAAATAGCCATAAAGAACATGACATTTATAACCCTGCAGAGAGCTGTGGACCAGAGGCAGGACAACAAATCAATCGAAGGTTAGACAACATTGTACTGATTCTCATCTATTGGCAGTCTGCAGCCCCCCAGACCGAGCAGGCATCAGAGAGCATCTCCATCTGAACAGCTCACTGTGTGAAGAGATCCCTGTTCTGTGATTCCAGAGTACTGTCCCTGATTACTCTTTTCTAAGCTGCCTTTCCTCCCCCGACCCCAAAATTATTTTTATTGGAAAGACAAATTTACAGCAAGAAGGAGACACAGAGCAAAAGATCTTCCATCTGCTGGTTCACTCCTCATGTGGCCATAGTGGTTGGAGCTGAGCAGATTTGAAGCCAGGAGCCAAGAGTGCGGGGTACAGTGTCCCACGGTTTTGGGTCATCCTCAACTGCTTTCCCAGGCCACAAACAGGAAGCTGGATGGGAAGTGAACCAGCGCCCATATGGGAATCCTGGTGCATGCAAGGCTAGGATTTAGCCATTAGGCTACCATGCCAAGCCCAGCTGCTTTTTTTCTATTCTTCCCATTCTTGCATCTCCATATACATGAGGATACCTTAACTTAAATTGTAAATCATGGATTCAAAACTCAACTCAGTCTTTACAATAAGATCACAGGAGGTATTATTTTTCTGAGTTTTTATTTCCTACAGAATTTATTAAGTGATAACGTGGTGGTAAAATTTGAGCTAAAATGATAAAAGATATTTTGTTATTTGGCCATGAGAATGAATTCTTTTTTTGTTTTTAAAGATTTACTTATTTATTGGAAAGTCAGATATACAGAGAGGAGGGGAGACAGAGAGGAAGATCTTCCGTCCAATGATTCACTCCCCAAGGGAGTGCAATGGCTGATGCTATGCCGATCTGAACCAGGATCCAGGAACCTCTTCCGGGTCTCCCACATGGGTGCAGGGTCCCAAAGCTTTGGGCATCCTCGACTGTTTTCCCAGGCCACAAGCAGGGAGCTGGATGGGAAATGGAGCTGCCGGGATTAGAATCGGTGCCCATATGGGATCCCGGAGTGTTCAAGGCAAGGACTTTAGCCACTAGGCCACGCCGCCGGGCCCAGGAGAATTAATTCTTTTTTTTTTTTTTTGAGAATGAATTCTTATGGGAAGGTTATAATGATGACAGCAGAGCATAGATGATAAGACTGAAATGTTGGTAACTAATTTTTTTTCTAGGATGTAAGTTGTATACACACCTACCCAATGGGTAAACCTACTCTTTTAGATTATTTTCTATTAATTTACTTATCAGGAATCATTTCAAATTTCCATGGTACTATAATTAAATTGTTTAATATGTGTGTGTGTATAAGCGTATGTAATGCATGCTGTGTACATAGCCAGACACCAACAATAAAAAACGAAAGAGCATAGACAGAACAGCAAAATAAGAGAAGATGTGAACAGGTCAGAGTAAATATTTTCCTTGAGATTATGTTCATAACATTGATTTTTCCTTTTTCTTTTTAGCTTTCATATTAAAATTGATTTTTGAAAACTTTACTAGACTTAACATTTCAGAGAGCTTTTGAGCTGACAGAAAATCTGGCACAAAGTATGTAGAATATCCATATACTACTGTAACTGCCTACAGGAAAAAAAAGTTTTCTACATTTTCACAGATCAAATAGAATTCAGAAATGCCAACTTCTTTTTCTTCTAATGCCAAATGAGATGTTAGTATATTGTTATATACATATATAATATAATGTGTTGTCATATTGTTATGTTGAGATGTAGTCAGTGAAAAATAAGGAAATAAGAAAGCAAGTAACAACGAGGAAGGACAAAACATTTCTCACAACCGCTCCCTTCTGTACTTGGGACAGTTCACAGGCTAGTTCCCGCTGGTCCATAGCCTAGCCTGAGTTGTGGTTGTTCTCTGAGCCTTAATCATTTATTTTTAGATTTGACCCACTACATGAACTGAAAACTAAAACTTACCTCTTCAAAGGATAAGAGAAAGCAAAGTATCATATTTTTTTCGTTTTTTAAAGGTTTATTTATTTATTGGAAAGTCAGATACACAGAGAGGAGGAAAGACAGAGAGGAAGATCTTCCATCCGATGATTTGATCCCCAAGTGAGCTGCAACGGCCGATGCTATGCCGATTCGAAGGCAGGAGCCAGGAACTTCCTCCAGGTCTCCCACACGGGTGCAGGGTCCCAAAGCTTTGGGCCGTCCTCGACTGTTTTTCCAGGCCACAAGCAGGGAGCTGGATGGGAAGTGGAATTGCTGGGATTAGAACCGGCACCCATAGGGGATCCCAGCATGTTCAAGGTGAGGGATTTTAGCCGCTAGGCCATGCAGCCGAGCCTGCAAAGTATCATTTTAAAAGCGCACACACAAACTTATTTATTTTTATTTGAAAGGCACAGTTAAAGAAAGATGGAGAGACAGGGAGAGAGAGAGAATACACACTTTCATCTACTGGTTCACTCCCCAATTGGCTGAAATAGCAAGAGCTGAGCTGATCCGAAGCCAGGAGCCAGAAGACTTCTCTAGGATTCTCACGTGGGTGCAAGACCTAATGACTGCAGTCGTGCTCTGCTTTCCCAGGCCATAAGCAGAGAGCTGGATTGGAAGAGCAGCAGCCAGGACACCACTGGTGGCCATATGGGATGCTGGCAACACGGACAGAGGATTAGCATGTTATGCCACCACCCTGGCTCCTATGTCAGCTTCATTTTAACAACTGGCAATGTCACACCTGATGTGAAAATATATAGTAGCATTCATTTTGTAACATTCATATAGCTCAGCAGTCCTTGGGACTTTTTAAAGAACGGTTATGCTCAAAACATTTTTTTTCCTAGCATTTGAGGATGTATGATTTTGCTACTTTTTTAAAAAAGATTTATTTATTTTTATTGGCAAGTCGGATATACAGACAGGAGGCGAGATAGAGAGGAAGATCTTTCCATTCACTGATTCACTCCCCCAGTGGCAGGAGGGAGCTGAGTCCATCCGAAGTCAGGAGCCAGGAGCTTCTTCTCGGTTTCCTGCGAGGGTGCAGGGTCCCAAGGCTTTGGGCTGTCCTCAACTGCTTTCCCAGGCCACAGCAGGGAGCTAGATGGGAAGTGGGGCCCCTGGGATTAAAACCAGCGCCAATATTGGCTTCCTGCATGTGTAAGGCGAGGACTTTAGCCAGTGGGCTATTGCAGCAGACCCTGATTTCGCTACATTTTCTGTGTCATATTGCCATGGGAGAGCAAGTCACAACTCGCAGTCATGAGGGCCATTGTAAGGACTCTACTCTGAGAGAAAGGGGAAACCATTGCAAGGATTTGATCGGAGGTGTGGTTAGTGCTACAAGCATGCTGGAAGTGAGGCGAGCAGGGAAAGGCCAAAAGAGGAGCACTGGTTACTCTGTTTTAGAGTCCTGACCCTCTGGAATGCAGTATGTCTAGATGTGAGAGTACCCACAAAAGGCTCTCTGTTCCGGGTCTTGTTAGCAGAGGCAGTGTGATGGAGCTCACTGCTTCTCAGAGGCAGAGCACTTCCCTGACCTGCCCCAGCCCACTTGCTTCCATCATAGGAACCCTTACTGAAAACAAAGCGGGCCCGTGTGCCTGTCTGAGCACTCAGGTGCCCCAGGGAGTTTGCGTTCAGCTCCCCCTGCTGTCTCAGGCACTGTGTCACTCACAGCACAGAAGTACTGAGCTTCGTCGCTCCGCTGGGCTGACAGCTTCCTCAGGTGAAAAGAGGTTTCACTCTTCTTAAATTCGGCCTCAAAACCATTGGTGCCTTTCACCAAGGGCTCCCCTGTCATATACTTGAGGAGAAACTGGAGGCTTTGGCCGGGATGTTGCACGTACCAGAAGAGATAAGGAGTTCCACTGTAGGTGTAGTTGCACCTCAGCTGGAAAGCCGCTCCTTCAGGGACAGTGATGCTGCTGTCCAGCTGAGTCACAGACTGAGCTCCGCTTCCTCCTGCAACATCAACGCCGTGTCAGTGAGACTCGGGAAGGCCCACCCGCGAAGAGATGGCGTTTCTGCTCACACTCCGACTGGGATAACACTCTTGTGGACACAGAGGCGGGAATACAAGGTTACTCACTCAGTGTGAACGGCAGTGCCAGCAGCAGAAGGGTCACCGAGATCATGCCTGGACAGGGAGGAACCCAGAAGGTCTCTCCTGGAAAGTCGCTCTGAGCAGAAAAGAAGATAGAGGGATGCTACAAGAGGAGACAGCACCCGATTCGAGAGTTTCGTGTGTAGGCAAGGCCCAAAGATGATCGGGGAGAGTGCTTGCTTGTGGTGTTGAAGCTACTCTGAATACACACCTTAGTAAGTTGTGAGGTAAGAAACTCATTGGAGATCTGAGGCTTTTTAGAAGCAGTTGTCAGTCAATGTAAGAACGCCCTCTGGAGGTCAAAGTAAGAAATAAATTGAATCAGGATTTCTGTGCACCATCCTTTTCTGACTCCTACGTAGATTTGAATTTCTTAGCGCTACAGTCTGGTCAGAGTGTTTTCAGGGGTATGCCAACGTAAATGCATTACTAAGTGAATGCATTATTTTATCCTGTGAGATGAATTACATGATCATGTTTATAAATGAGGAAACTGAAGCATGAAAGAGAAGATGCAATTTGCCCAAGGTCACGATAAATAACAAAAATCGTTTGTTTAATTTATGTAATTCAAGAATCCACATTATTAACCACCAATAAGTTTGCACATTTTGCACTGGAGCTGTTTGCTTACACAGAAATCCAAGTCTTTATGAAGTTAAATAATTCGGGTCATGTTTAGTTGCTTTTCTGCAGTGTTATCCATGATGTAGTACAATTGCATAAGAGTTGTCATATCACAAGACAAATACTTAAAAGTAAAATTCATAAACAAATACTGACTAAAGAAAACCCTCAAAGAACTCAAATACTTGAAAGGATACAAAACAGGGACAATACGAAAGAAATCTCAAGAAGAGACAACTGGAAAATCATAAATGGCTGATATTTTTAAAAAGAAGAAAAAAGAGTTTAAAGAAGAAATGAGCGACCCACCGAGTAAATAAACTAAATATGTAGCATGATGGTGACTTCCGTGTCTACTGAGTTTTTTAACAGCACGTAGATCATGACCTTGATCTAGGTCTTTCTGGAAGAAACAAAGCTTTAGTAAAATGAATCCTGGGATGAGACAACCAAGAACAAAATCTGAGTATAGATCCATGGACTGTCTGAAGGGAAAGAAAGAGACACAGCGTGACCTCAGTGTGTTGAGGTGGTCACGGTAGTTATCCAAAGGTCAGGGTATAGTCAGTGTTAAAAGAAACAGTCGACGAGCAGTGGGTCAGAGTTCTGAGGGGGCAAATCACAAGCACAGAATCAAATTAGGCGGGCGGAGGAATTATTTCCTTGCTTATCAGAATGAAGAATGACTTGGTTTAGGTATAAATAATTATTTGTCTTTTGAAGGCAAAAATTTCAAAAAATCTGTTGCTTTGTGATGGAATCTCTTGGTCCTGATAATTTGAAATTCAGTGTTTCCCAAGAGAGTAACTATAGCTTTTGGATTAGAAAATCTGGAATATGTGGTAAGGTTTGAATAGCCCCTACAGAAAATAAAAGTGAGAGATCATTATTGAGGAAAAAAGAAGTTTTTCTGGAAATACGAATTGTCTAGCTAACATTGAAGATAACAACATACTTCTGTGGTGCCAGTACACACACCAGTGCAATTAGCTTAAACCCTGTTTATCAGATAAGATATACATTACAAGAAGGGAAATATTGATCCATGGTTGGTGATAATAAGATCACTGATATGACAGATTAGATTAAGAATAAGGTTAATGAGAAAAGATATAATGCAGTATGCCATGACATTTAAGTGTTATAGATAAGAAAATGGAAAATGTATCTGAAAAATAAGACAACAATAAAGGAATCAAGGGGCTAAAGACCACATAAAGTCAAGTAACAGGTGCAGTGAGAGTAACTGGATGTGAAATTTGAGACTGGATGCAAGATTTCAAAGGTAGAGCAACAACAGACTGGTGAATTATTTTTTTTTTTAAAGATTTATTTTTGTTATTTTTTTCATTGGAAAGGCGGATATACAGAGAGGAGAGACAGAGAGGAAGATCTTCCGTCCGATGATTCACTCCCCAAGTGAGCCGCAACGGCCGATACTATGCCGATCCGAAGCCAGGAGCCTCTTCCGGGTCTCCCACATGGGTACAGGGTCCCAAAGCCTTGGGCCGTCCTCGACTGCTTTCCCGGGCCACAGGCAGGGAGCTGGAAGGGAAGCGGGGCTGCCAGGATTAGAACCGGAGCCCACATGGGATCCCGGGCATGCAAGGCGAGGATTCAACCACTTGCGCCACCGCGCCGGGCCCTGACTGGTGAATTATTGTAAGAGCTTTTTAAAGTGGGGATATAGGATTTAATGGCTAACAGAAATTCTGACTAATGGCGTTTAAAATGGATAGATTCAGACTTCACTCTGAATGGCCCATGTGGACAATCAAATCACCTAGTATTTAGGTTATTGTGGAATCTTTTTAAGGAGTCAGACGTTTGCATACTCGAGGAGTGTTGCCTGTTTCTGAAGATAACAGTGGTGAAATGGAGAGGGAGAAAAGGGTGAAGGGCTAGCTTTGGAAAGTGCAGAGATAACAACCTGTTATACTGGGAGCAAAGAGCATGTTGCTGCTACCTTGGAACTTGAGGCCTTTTAAACAAGGAAGTAGAGTGAGCACAGCAGAAGGGAAACAACATTAGACAGAAACTGACTACAAATAGAAACTGGTTGTACAGAGTTGAATTTCAATTGGAGCACTTGGAAGGAATTTTTGCAGGAACTGTAAGATTAGAGAAAGAGAGATAGTTATATGGTGGATTTGCACTGCCCTGCTAACATAATTCTGATCTTTCAGTTAGTAATGTTTTTAGGTAAAAGAAGATGCTTTCTTCAAGCTTTTGCCAAATATATCTACCATATATCATGTTGTGAACAATAAGGTATGAGTATTATGAGCCTTTTATTGTCACGTATTACTCAACAAACTTTTCAACTTTTTAATTTAAAAAAAAAACACAACTATGCTCCATGTAACTACAAATTCAGAATCAGAATTTCTATATTTGAAACCCAGATATAGGAAAACAGGATATTACTACACTTCTCATCTGTAATAGAGGATCAATCCAGAGTCATGTTTGTTTAGCAGATATGTTGTTATCAAACAGCTCAGGCACAACAAAGGAAAGCTAGTAGGGCATTACCTAAAACTTCGTGCTAATTAATAGATTATGTAATTAGTATGAGCCATTGTACAATTATTAAGCTTTCAATCGAGTATAATATATATAATAAAGCATATATCTATTGTAAGGTATAACAATCTTGTAACCAGTGCAAGATCAAGAAATCAAAGCCTTGAGAGCTTGACTTGTGCAGCAGCAAAAAGACTTACTGCCTGTGACATAAAACATTCCATACAGACTCACATCTCAGCTGCTCCACTTCCAATCCAGCTCCCTGCCATTGGCCTGGAAAAGCAGTGGACAGTGGCCCAAGTCCTTGAGCTCCTGAAAATATGTTGGGGATGTGGAAGAAGTTCTTGGTTTTGGCTGGCTCAATCTTGGCCTATTGTGACCATTTGTGGTGTGAACCAACAAATAAGCTATTCCTCTCTCACTCTCTATGTGTAACTCGGACCTTCAAATAAATCTTAAGCAAGCCTTGTATAAAAGAAAGTGTAAGTAGCACTTTCAAGCCTCTTTGTGCTGTCAGTCCCGTTGAAGCATAAGGAACTCTACCCTAACATACGTGTTAGCTGTGTCTCCTTTTGTACTTTATAGAAATGGGTTGTGTGTTGGCCATTTGAATATCTTCTTTAGAGGAAAACCAGCACCTGTCTTCTTTATTCTTGTTCTCTCTCCCTCTCCCTCTCTCTCTAACAAGGTGGGCCACTGGGCAACAATGTGTGCTGCAAGGATTTTCTGTTTACCGACTACCCTTTTAACTCTCTAAATTGAAAATTCATGGCACTTTAAGAGTGATGCAGTTTGGATGTTTGCAAGTTTCTGAACACAGTCTGAGAAACACTTTTCAAATACAAAGCAATGAAAAATATCTTTTCTTCTAAACATTTTATATTTTCTTCTCACACTCAAATATGCATAATATATGATCTTCTATTTCTGCATATGTGATAAAGGCTGATGAATGTGTTCTATGTGATAAAATAATGATTACTGCTTATCAAATAGACATGATAAAATCTTAGAAGAGAGTGCAACTACCTCAATACTAATTTTATTGTAATAGTTTTAATCACATGTCTCTCTTTTATTATTATTTTACTTAAATTTCCCCCTATTTTTAGATTTTTGTCCTTTCTCAGTCACCATTTTTCATAAATGACATCAAGAAGTTCTTGAAGTTTCTTCTAGATATTAAACATTTTCCAGAAGTTTTCTCCCCTATTCTATGCCCAGGAAATTTCCTTCCCTGTGTTCTATATTTGTTTTCACAAAACTCTTATCTCTTACCTTGCTTGACTGGAAAGTTAATTAGAAAGTGACTTGGTTGGGTTGGCACCATGGCACATCAGGCTAAGCCTATGCCTGTAGTGCCAGCGTTCCATACAGGTGCGGTTTCAAGTCCTTGTGGCTCCACTTCCAATCTAGCTTCTTGCTATTGGCCTGGGAAGACAGTAAGGGAGGGTCCAAGTTCTTGGGCCCCTGATCCCATGTGGGAGACCTGGAAGAAACGCCTGGCTCCTTGGCATATGGAGCATATGGAGGATCTGTTTCTCCTTCCCTCTCTGTTTTATGCAATTCTGGAGAAACAAATTGGATACTCTCCTAGCTTTAGATCCGCCTCTCAAAAACACTTCACAGAGTTTGTGAAACATTAGAATTGTTATTATGTACTGCTGAGTAGGAAAAGGTAAAAGAAAATATGCTTTGAAAGGATAAATATGAATGTGAGTCAAGGCTTTAGTAGGAGAGAAGAAAAATTTTTTAAATATATTAATGTGTGTATTTGTGTTACAACTTGTGTTCACCTTGGGAATTTCATAGTGGATGAAAAACTTACCTAATAGTCAAATTTCTCTTAGAAATCAACCCATGTGCGTATTCCCATCAATACATTACTTTAATTAGTATGTGTTTTTCAGGTGTATAAGCATTTAATGCTGTTTTGTATTTGTTCTTGTGATATACTACATTAGTTCCTATGTGATAAACTAATGGCACAGCAAGAGCATGGCACCTGCACCTACCTTGCATCAGTGTGGGCATCTGGCTTGCTCCTAAGTGAGTGGGCTCATGGGATCTGAGGGTGTAGACTTGTAGGGGGTCTGGGAGATGACACTGGTGGGGCTGTGCAAGGATCTTGGGGCTGTGTCTACTCAGACAGACTGAGCCTGTGAATCTCCCCATATTTATGGTTCTAAGTGGATAGAGGGTTTGGAGAGGGGAGAGTCCTAGGTTACATGCTGGACTAGTGGACCAGGCTTGGGGAATTGTGAATGTGCTTTGGATCTTGCTGGATGGAGGGGTAGGGTCTCAGGCCAGCATGGGTGCCGAGAGCTTGGGTCCCTTGTGGGTGAGCAGAGCTCCAGGCCAGCATGTACTGCAGTCCCCACTGGTATACATGAGGGCTGAGTGTATGGTAGACTGAGTTGGGCTGGGCTGCTGCATTCATTGGTTTGTGTAAGAGATGGGACTGGAGACAGACTGACCTGACAACTGCAACCACTCCTGTGTGAGCAGGCTGAGTGGGGGCCAGACTGAGCTAGACCCCACACTGGCTAGCACACAAAAGAGTCAGATCTGGGGTTAAATCAGACGAGGTTTCTTTGGGAACTTCCCCAACTGAACCTCTGGACTCAGAACTCCAACCACAGAGAGAATCACGAGATCTGTGGTCTGACCATGGAGTGCATCTGTCAGAACTGGGCCTCCTCAGTTGCTAAGACATGAATGGCATGCCCAAATGCACATGAAGAATATGGCAGTCCATTGGGGCCTGCAGAGAACTTCTAGCACCATAGCAGAGAATGGAAGGCAGAACAAATTGGTCAACTATGCCAGCAAGGAATTGATAGCAAGTATCTGGGCAAATGGAGACTCTAAGGTGGACTACATCAGTCAATGGACTTGGAAAAATTTCCACATTCTTGAGGAATTAATTAACAGCATCTCAGAACTATTGAAACCACTTGAGCAGAAACTTTGGAGCATGCTCCACATTGAGGACCCTGGGATGACTTCAGGTGGCCATTCTCCACCCCTAGAGAATGGCCTGACACTGTTAGGACACTGGGTACAGTTTTTCCTCTTCTCTCCCATCTTTCCCTGAATACAGGAGGAAGAAAAAGAAACTTGAAAACAATGGTCTCATCCATTTCCCCTTAATCCTTGACCCTTCACACCTTAATCAGTGGCCCCACTGATTCACTCCCAAAGTGGCCACAATGGTCGGATCTGTGCCAAGCCAAAGCCAGGAGCCTGGAACTTCTTCCAGGTCTCCGACGCAGGTGCAGGGTCATCCTTGACTGCTTTCCCAGGCCACAAGCAGGGAGCTGGATGGGAAGCGGGGCTGCCAGGATTAGAGCTGGCATCCATATGGGATCCTGGCACATACAAGGTGAGGACGTTAGCCACTAGGCTGTGGCACTGGGGCCTTAATATGATATGGTTTCGTGTATTAGTGCGAATTGATTATGAACGGTGTTTGGTCCAATTAGCTGAAGGAACTGCAATTGCTGACATGCTTGTTTATCGATGCTTGGATATTCTGGAAATCACAATCCCCTGAGATCACATTTTCCCCTTACACATGGCTTTCTGTTGATGCTGTGTTCTACAGGGTTTGGGTACAGACGGCAGGGGCCTGAGAAGCATTGTGTCAAGGCACAGAGGTACGTGGCTGAGTCTTCCAGCTGGGGTCCTTTGATGTACATATAGCTGTGACGCTCCTTAGTATCCAGTGTGACTCTTACTCGTCCTGCCTGCTTTTCATCCCCATTTAAACGCATGGCAAACATGAGCTTGGGGCTTTCTGCAGGTTTCCATTTGTACCAATACAAACCATAAAAAGAATCAAAAGTGAAGCTGCAGGTGAAATTGGTGTTCTCTCCCTCCTGAACATGCAGGGACCGAGGTCTTTGCTCCACATTCAACATGCTGCTTGCTCCTGTTTAGAAAGATAGAGTCACACACAGAAATGTTCTCTCTACAGAGTTCATAGTTGCTTCACAGAGTCACCATCTGTGGCCTCCTCCCAAATCACTGCCTCTTAGACTACCCAGAGTACCTTCAGTAATCCTTGGACTTACCACCAAGATGAAACCACAGGAGCAGCAATGAGGTTGCCCAAGGATCCTTGTCCATTTGTCCTGCCTTTGTCTCCTCAACAGGGGGATGACACTGCCATCAGATCTGGGGTTATCTGCTGCTTCAGAGAACAGGACTCTGCATGCATGTCATTTCCTGACCAATCAGAAATAAGCTCCTGTAATTGTTCTAGAAACACACCAACCAGTTCTGCCCTAGATTCAGTTTCCTGTGGTTCTCAGGGAAGGATCAAAGCCCATTTTCTTGAAGTCACCTTCCCCAATATTTAGAAAATGTTCCCAAATTTGGAGCACAGAGATTAATGATGATCTTCCCGAAGTGGACTGGCTGATCATGGATGGCTATCACCAAGTTGATAGGGAACTGCAGGATGAGTGGATATCAGTAGTATGTAGGCTTGGAATCTTTCATACAAATTTTCAAAAATCATTTGAAGATCTCCAAATCCCTCAAATTATAAGTGTGAAAACATTCCATGTGACAAATGATCTCTGAACTTTGAGCACCTTATTCTAAACAAAGAGTTGCGTAACATAGACTCACTATCCCCAATAAGCAAAAGCTAATGATAAAAAAGACATTAAGAAATTTATTCTCAAGGGCAATTAACTGGTAGGTAGAATATTAATAGCATATACCTGTCTGGATCTGGAGTCTGCTAAGTTTCAATGCTGAGTAATTATTGAAAGTGTTAAATATGTTCCAAAAACAATGAGTGTCTAAGCTGTGGTTCTTCTTTATAATGGTCTCAAGGGGAAAGCAATACAAATGCTTGCCAGTTGGAATGAATTTATGAAATATATATCCAGGCAATGAGCTATTATTTATCAGTTTAAAAAAATTAAATGTGAATCCATGCTACACTATGCATGGAGCTCAAAAGCATTCTGTTAAGGAAAAACAGATATATGAGATCACATACCAAATGATCCAACAGAAATAAATGCTTGAAGGAGGAGCCTCTACAGAGACATGAGATAGACCCACCTGAGGTAAGAAGTTGGATTACTAAATAACTGTAATTGGGCACAAAAGATCTCTGTGATTAAAATGTTTAAAATTGGATCTGCCTACAGATTCACCAACAGCTCATTTATTGAGATCATTGCATTGTCAAGTTCAAAATGGTTGCATATTCACAACTTGCAAATGATAGCCCAATGATTTTTCAAAAAGTTAGTTATTTTATATTTATTTGTTTGCAAGGCAGAGTAAAGAGAGAAACAGAAGAAGAGAAAGATCTTCATTTTGCTTGTGTGCTCCCCGGAAGACTGCAGCAGTGGCCTGAAATCAGACCAAAGTCAAGAGCCAGGAACTCTATCTGGGTCTTCCGTGTAGGTAACAGGGTCCCAAGTGCTTCTACTGCTTTGCTAGGCATATTTGCAAGGAGCTGGTAGGACGTGAAGCAGCCAGAACTTGAATGGATGCTCATATTGGATGTTTAACCTGCTACACCACAGCACTGGTTCCCAAATAAAATTTTATTAAAGTAAATAAGAATTATATTCTGTCTTGCCTGTGTAAGAGTTATATGGATTTAGTTTGATTGAACAGTGACTGTGTATTTAGAATTTCCCTAGGAACTATGAGAGATTAAAAGTTACAAAAGTTGTATTCTCTGTTTCCTGAGGACTCAAAATACAGTTGGGGCAATAAGACATGTCAAGGGACAAATTAACAGTCTAGGACAGCATGAGTTGAAGTGTTTCTGACTTACCTCTGAGAAATGGGTAGCAGGAATTAGACTTCAAAAATCCCTTTTAATGAATCAATAAAATAAGCAAGAGAAACATCATGAAGTAGCTGCTTAAAAAAAGCCAAAACCCTGGGGGAAAAATGCCTTCCACATGCACTTAAATCACGTGAAAAAGGAAACAGAATCAGAAGGCATTTCAACAAGCTGCATTCCAGCTCTGCTTTGCAAGAAAGGAGATGCAGCTATGGTTAACCAAGGCAGTCCTGAATGGCTTTAGTAATGTCTCCTTATTTAGAAGAGTCGGGGATGGGCTGCTGGACAAGCTGAAGCCACTCTGAATCAAGTTCTTGTACTCATGACTTTCAGATACTCAGTGATGGAGAGTGACAGACTGTTGGTTGTTGAGACTTGTTTCTGGTAAGAATACTGATCACGCATCATTTTTTCCAAGAGACTTTTGCGCTTCCTTTTTGTCATTCATGTGTTGGTCACTCAGTGGCGTGTTTTTTCATGGTGCAATAATTTGTTGTTGATGTTGTTGTTATTGTTGTTGTTGTGAGTGTTCTAACTCATACCAGTTGTTGACCTTGTTTCATGGCTTCTCAATTATGGACATGTATAGCGATGGAGTACTGAGGACTATCATATACAGATGTGGGGGAATAATGGAGCATGCATCCTTGCTTTCAAATGAAAGATTCCTAATGAAACTGTTGGACATGTGTAGATAATGGGATGCTGGACTGCCTGACATTGTCTGTACTACACTATTGTAGTAAAATGGGGAAAATCTGTCGGGAGGTGGGAGTTTGGGGTGGAATCCCAGCCTATATGAAATTGTACCACATAATTCAGAATTCAAAATAAAAATATATTTTTTAAAAAAAAAAATACTGACCACGGATACGTCCACCTGTAGTTGTCCAGACCAAGAAGGGCATCCCTTCCACACCAGGGAGCATCTTACAGCTATCAAGGCAGACACCTGTAAACTTAACCAGAAATAGAGGCTGAGCCCTTGAACCATGAGATAAGCTAGCGATGTTGGGAAAACGAAAAAACTGGGAGCAAGGAGCTTCTTCCAGGTCTCCCACGTAGGTACAATGGCCCAAGTTCTTGGGCCATCTTATACTTTTTCAGGCAATTAGCAGGGAATTGAATAGGAAGGGGAGCAGTGGGGACTCAAACCAGCATCCATGTGGGACACCAGTGGTTACAAGGGGAGAATTATCCAATTGAGCCATTGCACTAGGCCCCATATACACAGCTTTAAGAACATAATGATACTTCTCACACTCCCTCCATTGCCTTCCTCTCTTTCTCTTTTTAAAATTATTGCAGTGGCATGCTTTCAATTTACTTTATAATCACAAGTTTAATCCTCCACTGAATAAAACATTCAGCAAGTAGTGAGCTGTGCAACCACTCTTCAGGAAGCCACCATCAAGGCCAAGCAGCGGACACACTTTCACTTCCAGAAAATCCTCTCATTTATGCAACAAGACCACAATTTTATTTCCATGGCATTCTACCACTTCCCAGCCAAAATCACTGCAGGAATTATGTCTTTCATTTGAAATCAATCGCCTTTGCATCCAGCAGGGTGATAGACTGAAGATTAGAGAGTCTTCCTGAATCCTCTCCAGTGTGATGCTCCAAAGGGAGGCTTATGGACTTTGGTTCAACAATGGCAGCTCCTATTCGGCTTTAGGTTTCACCACAATTTAACTCATGAACAATGGAGGGCAGCAAAGAGGTCAGTTTAGATATTAGCAAATATGCTAGGACACCAGGTGGCAGTACCTCTGCAAGGAACTGCTTCAGTTCTCCATTCCTGGAGACCTGCTACAGCTTGAGCATAAAAGAAAACAGAAAGGTTTAGAAAAAGACTTCACAAAACGGCGACACTTGGGTAAAGATGTGCAGGAGGTATAGGGGCCCACTGAATAGAAGTGGGGAGGCAACATTACAGGCAGAGATCTAAGGTGAGTGGCAAGGTCTTTATGAAATCATGCCCATAACTTGTTAGAAACAGTACACTGGGGTGGGCATTGTGGTGCAGAAGCCTACACTGCCACTTGAGAATACCCACATTCCATATTACAGCGTTTGAATTGACTCCCAGCTGCAGCATTTCAGATCCAGCTTCCTGCTAATGTGCCTCCTGGCCAGCAGCAATAATGGCTCAAGTACTTGGGTGGCTGTCACTGGAGTTGGAGACCCAGATGGAGTTCCTGGCTTCTAGCTTTGCTCTGGCTTGATCTTAGCTGTTGCGGGCATTTGGAGAATGAATGATCAGATAAAAAGATCTCTCCCTCCTCTTCCCCTCTAATCCCTCCTTTTCTTGACTCTGTTCTCTGATCTCATTCCATGTCAAATAAATAAAACTTTGTAAACAATTTAAAAGAAATAATATCTTTTCTTCTAACCCTGTTTCTTCCTAACAATCTAGCATTAAATGTAGAAGAGATTCACTCACACATTCAGTAGTTTTAGCTGGATTGTTGACGATGTCCTCATCTATTTATCCCGTGGCAACTCGTACCTGGGCTCACCTCTTCTCTAGTTCTCTTTGCATTCCAGCTGAAACCTGCAATGTCACCACAATTGACGTAAGTTTCTGAAGTGATTCTTCAAGCTTTTGTCATTTAACTGGCAGCTTTTGAATTGATCTTTATGCACTCTGTACATCTTGTGAACTTAAAGTCCCTTTCCAGAAACCTACATTATAAATATTTTCCAGTCTCTGTTTTTGCTTTCCATTTTCTTGAAAGTGATTTTTAACATAGACAATTTTTGTAAAAAACATACTACATATGTTCATAGGAAGCTAACTTGGAAATTTTAATTATTTTAAAATTACTTTAATGCTTTTCCCTCTTTAACTTCTATTGTTTCTGATAAAAAGGCAGGTGCCATTCTTATGCACAGTTTCCAGTACACAGCATGCCAGCCTTTTCTGGCCATTTGTAAGTGCTTTCTTTGTTTATTTGTTTTTAGTTTTGTTCACTTAAATAGACACTTCAAATATGGATTTGCTTTCTGTGCCTATAATTCTGCTGAAAACTGCAGTGGTTGGGTTCACCAAAGCCCTCATTCAAGCTTACGGCATTTCATACAGCACAGCTCCTGAGCCAAGGAAGTCCTTCTCCAGAAAATCAAGGCTACAAGTGAATTACAGTGCTGGCTGGGCTTAATGGAAGAACCACTTATAAAAACCACTGCAACCATGTGATCATTTGTACAAAACAAAAATTTTATGATAGTTATGAATTTTCCATTTATGTATGTATTACCAATTTATTAATTCTCCTCCATTGTCCTACATGCATAAGATGTGACAGAAAAGGTTAGTTTTGTATCTCATTATAACTCAATAGTTCAAGTTATTGTAACAATATGGAGGAATTCAATATG